AGAGAGAGAGAGAGAGAGAGAGATCCCTGCCGCGCCCGATTGTTTCCCGTAGAGAGAGAGAGAGAGAGAGAGAGAGAGAGAGAGAGAGAGAGAGAGAGCACCTCTGCAGGGGCATTGCAGAAAGATGGCTTCCCGTCATGAGGACATATGGCACAGGGCCCGACAGAAATGGGACCGCCAGTCGAAGGAGGGCGTCCTGGAAAGTTGTGGTCACCACCGACAAGGGCCTGCTGAAAATATTTTTTGGCCGAGGGGCGCAAATGCATGGTCCCACAGAAAGTGGCAAGATGCATCCGTTCCTGTGAATAGCAACAGATGCATCTGGCCACTTTGTGGGGAAGTTGCACTGGTGTGGCTAGGCCCAAAGTCGATATCCAAGCACCCCCCAACTTGCACGGAGTGCATAAAAAACAAGCAATTCTGTAATCGAGGAGGGAGTGGAAAGCTGGTCGAGGAGGGAACATCGGCTCGGAAACAGTCTTTTTCTTTTTTTCTTTTTTTCTTTTCCCACACTATCTACTCTTCTTTTCCTTTCTCTTTTTCAGCCGAACAAGAATTATTGGCTCCACATCATTTGCGTTACCACGTGGCCAATAACAGTAGAGACAAATAACATCATTTGCCAAGTGGGAAGACCAAACGAATGTGCAGTATCACTCGTGGCAGAGATCTCGTTTTACTCGCCTTGGATTTGATACGTGGCAAGAGTTGTGATATCCATTGGATTTGGATTTGACACGTGGCAGAACAACTTTCGAAGTCGAGTTAAGATTTGCCACGTCTGAAATTTCACAGGTGGCCAAAGCTATCACATCATCGACTGTGGATTCGACACGTCGCAAGAGATTTGTCGGGTGTGGCACGTGGCAAGAGTTCCCATACCACGTGGCAAGAGAGGCGATGACATGTGGCAAAACATCTCATAATCTTAGGATTTGACAAGTGCCAAGAGTTGTCATAATATTCGCTTGACATCTCACACGTGGCGAAAGACCGCACATCATCGACTCTGGATTCGACACGTGGCAAAAGACGTGTGACACGTGGCAAGATGAGTCGGATTACACGTGGCAAGAGGAAGGGATAACACATGGCAAAACATCTAAAAAAATCGACTTCGGATTTGACATGTGGCAATAGTTTCATAAAAATATCCACTTGAAATTTCACACGTGGCAAAAAATTTAACATCCTCGCCTCTGGATTCGGCACGTGGCAAGAGACGTGTTTAACATCCTCGCCTCTGGATTCGGCACGTGGCAAGTGGCAAGAGACGTGTTTAACATCCTCGCCTCTGGATTCGGCACGTGGCAAGAGACGTGTGACACGTGGCAAGAGTGCTCATAAAATTCACTGAGAATTTTCACACGTCGCAAAATATTTCACATCGTGTACACTTTGGATTCGACACGTAGTAAGAGATGTCGTGTAGTTGGCTCTGAATTTGACACGTGGCAAGAGATCTCATGTCATTAGCTCTGTATTTTGCACGTGGCAATGACTACATACACACACTATAAATACTAACGCCCAGGCGCATATTCGAGAAAAGGACACACATGGTCGACCATCTCTTCCCCTTCCCTCCCGCCCGGACTCGTGCATTGGTACGTCTTGCTCTCTCTTTGTCCTCGTCCTGCATAAGGAGCAGGAAACGCGTGCGTTGGTAGGTCTTGATCTCCTTCTTTCCTTCTGCGTAATAAATATTGCTCCTCTACCTCTTTTACTCCTCTTCCTCCTTTTCCTCCTCTTCCTCCTTTTCCTCCTCTTCCTCCTCTTCCTCCTGCCTACACATTCCAAATACTCTTTCTCCGAACACAACGCACCCTGACCATGTGTACGCGAGTTATCTTCCCGGTCTGATGCAGTCACCTACCTATCAACGAACGCGAAAGCAAGAAAGAAAAAGAAAGAAAGAAAGAAAGAAAGAAAGAAAGAAAGAACGAAAGAAAGAAAGAACGAAAGAAAGACAAAGGGAGAACGGTAGAAAGGGAGAGGGAAACCAACAGGATTAACTGCCACCTACCTGCCAATCAAACATCAATCAATCAATCAATCGATCAATCAATGAGTCAATCAATCAATCAATCAGTCAATCAATCAAGCAATCGATCAAGCAAGCAAGCAATCAGGGAAGAGAGAAAGGAAACAACCAGGATTAACTGCCGACTACCTATCAATCAATCCATCAATCCAATCAATCAATCAGGAAGGAGGGAAACAAAACGACAAGAAAGAAACCTTAAGACTCACTCAAGCTGGATTGACTGCTAGCTATTAATCAATCAGTCAATCAATCAATCAATCAATCGACCAATCAATCAATCAATCAACCAATCAATCAAGCAAGCAAGCAAACACGCATACAACAATGAGGAAAGAATGAAGGAAAGAAAAACCAGTTGGACTGACTCCCCGATCGACGACTACCCCCCAGCTGGATTGACTACCAGCACGAATGACCCGTCGATGAAGAAGACTACCGATAACAACTGGATCGACCGCCAGGTCGATTGATAAGGTAACGAAGATGATGATGACCTCTGTAGTCCCGACCGAACACATTCAGTTTAAATTGGCGCGCTCCACCCAGCAAGGATCCGGACTGCCCACTTGACTGGATTTCAGCCCATAGATCCGATAAGCTAAAAATGGACATCCCGACTAACAACTGGATTGACTGCCACGTGGATGGATGATATATAGCCAGCTATGCTTTCCCCGTAGGGATCAGATTGAATTTGGCGCGCTCAACCCAGCAACGGCACTTGCCACTTGGTTGCAACCCATTGGTCTTCGTCGAAGTAGGGATCCGGACAGCCGCGGATTACGCGCTCGTACTCGGACGGGAAATGATTGTAAATGAGGTTGGGAAGGAGGAAGACGACAAAACGGACGATGGGTTTCGTCAAGTTAAAGGACGCCAAATCCAGAACGCAGTTCAAAGGAAGCTGTATGGTTCTTAAGCAACGGCTCATCACCTCATCAACGATCACACCAGCGACGCTCAGCCCCTCCGTCTCGCAGCCCACCTGACAACAGAACGAGTATCGACAGTATCAAAAAAAATTAAGCCGCATGAGAATGAATGGGATCGCACGCCAAGGGGAAAACGTAAATGTGCAGTTTCAAGTTCGTAAATGCAATCTCTCTCTCTCTCTCTCTCTCTCTCTCTCTCTCTCTCTCTCTCTCTCTCTCTCTCTCTCTCTGTGCGTGTGTGTGTGTGTGTGTGTGTGTGTGT